GCTGAGCCAGTGAAACTTTCCTGGCACACACGCGCACAAAAATGCCCTTTCGGAAGTTCAAAGACTGACACATGTTGGCGCCTCATTCAACAGTTCAAGCACCGCATGTTTCAAGAATACCACCATGCAGACGTGTCTTTCTATGTTCTGGCAACATGGCATTCTGTGACAACTCGGGATAAGGCATCATCTGTTGCATCTGCTGAAGATTAGGCATCTGCCTTGCACGATACACTCAATCAACTGCATTCACGTTTTTTTCCACCCTTCTTCCACCTTTCCGAAGCTGCAAGAATCAAGCCAAGATAATCTGCAATTCAAACCTTTTGGATCTTGGCGGTTTCTTCCGTACGTTATGCTTTAAGCCTTGTTCTATTTGGCCCACAACTGGCAGCGGCCAAGCTGCTGTTCGCTTCCCTTGATTGCCGCCCCTCTGCGCTCCACTTGCTGCTAAGCTGCTGGAGATTGGGCATTTGCATACCCGGCATTGGCGCTGGCATCGCAAGGCTTGGGTTGGCGCCAGCACTGGCGCTGGAGCTTGGCACCTGGCTCGGAACGTGCCGCGACTGTGACGAGCTGCTTGGGCCAACTCACCAAAAGTACCGAGCCAAATCGACACGTCCCGTCGACCAATGAATGCAGGAGCGCATGTGGGAACGCACTGGAGGCCATCCCTAGTAGGTTGGAGTAGCATCAAGTGTCAACACTAAAGGCTCGAAGGTTACTCTTCCAGTATGTAGGAACTATTTCGCTCAGCGAGAGCTCAAGGGAACTGAAAGCTTAAAGCACGTGTATTTTTTCGAAAGATCAATTAAAACAAAGAAAGGAAAGGTGGTCATAGGTCTCAACAAAAAGACCCCACCACACATTTCTTCATCAAAAGCATTCTGCGGACCGTTTAAGCCGAGAGGCTGTTTCTTCTTTCTTTGGCTCCGGCAAGGTCTTTGCCTCTGCAACATGAACAATTGCATGCATGCTCGCCTCCGAAAAGACCTAGACAAAAGGACAAAGACAAGGAAGAAAGAAATCGCGTTTCGATTAGTTTTTCTTTTCTTGTTAGGCGGGGTAGGCTCCTTGAAGAGCCCTTGCTGTCGAAGGGGATTTGAAGCACTTAGATGCTGGGATTCTTAGTGTTGTCCGGGTAGTCAAATCCAAGATGCACGAGAAAACTTAGTTCTTTCAAGCACTCAGGCAGAAGTGTTTGCCACACCATGCAATGACTTGAAGTCTTCGCCATCTTTTTCAGGGCCTCAAATAGGCCAAATCTGGCGAGACCGGTGCCTGCTTCAACGCATTCTGCCGTCCTGGTCCCTGTGGACTTGACGATATTGTATCCTCTTATAACGAAAAAACCGACACATACCTTCCTGAGGAAGTGACCCCCCCCGCGCGCGCGCGCGAAAAGGTCCAGTAGCTTCTAGTTTTAATTCTAATGAAATTCTAATTCTAATTCTATTTATTTCTTGTTTCTAATAGCAAACATTGTTCCTAGTAGTAAGGCCAGGAGCCCCTAGTAGCGAAGATTGTTCCTAGTAGCGATGCCAAAAGACCCTAGTAGCGTCCTTGCTACGAACAAACCGCTGACTTTCCAAGTGTGTCGCCCCGAGCCTCCCCAAGCACAAACTTCTTCTTAAAGAAACGGTGGTCTGGATGGATCTGACGCGAGACATGAAAGAACAAGGACGGTGTGCGGTGTCAACAAGTTTCCAGCAAATGACCAGGCTGTGAAACGGTGGGTATCAACGGATCAGCAAGATTCTTCCAGTCAAAAACTAACCAAAGCCTTAGCCTTGATTCTTCTAAGTCTGAGGTGACAGGTGGGAAATTACATCACAAGCGCCAAAAAAAAGACTGAACCTATGACAGCAGGTGTAAGACTGACTCCAACTGCTGATCTCTCGGCCTGTGACTTTCTGTCGTAGCACTTTTCACCTTATGAACTGAGGAATTGAGGGCTGCGTCCAGTTTTGAGAGGACTCTGAGACGGAAAAAAAGTCAGGTTGAACAAAAAGAATGCTTCGTTGCTTCTGGCTTTGGAAGATTCCAGGAACATGTGCAGGCGTTTCATCCAACAGCAAAGGATAGCTGCTTGGGAGCTGACACAAGTCGAAGGACTCGCAAATAGAACCTTGGCCAAGTTGAGTTCGCTTGTCGCTTTTTGACACGACGCCACGCCTCTTGAGCCGTGAGGCGAACTGAGTGCCGGGCATTTAAATCGGTCGCCGCGGATGGGGCTAGCTCGGCACCTTAGTTGTCAATTCTCCAAGTGACGGTGCCCCAAAGAAAATCAGAGTGGAGCGTTGTCGCGTTTGACGAAGAAACGACTGAAACTGTTCTTTCTCCAAAGTCCCAAGATTCTGTGAGTTGAGCATCCGAACCCTGAGCAAGAAATGCCATGGTGCACTTCATCATCATCCTGCACAAGCGGAAGCTCTTGTAGAAGATTGCAGAACGCAACAGGAAACAACGGGAGAGTGGAACACCAGGCATAGCCCCACCCACCACCAGCTGCCACACTGCAAAGTTGGATGTTGATGCATAGAACATCTTAGTCGACCAATCTTTGCCCCAACCTGCCTCTTGAGTTTAGTTAAGTTCCTTAAACATCTAGGAACCGAAGGATTAGCGCAAGCTATCCTGCGTCCAGTTACTAGTAGCTTCCTAGCTACTACTAGCTACCTCTCCCTTACTTAATTAAGTAGGCGCCTACTTAATTAAGTAGGGAGGAGGGGGAGCGGGCCAAAAAAGAACTCAACATCTACTAGTAGCTTCTTGCTCCTAGTAGCGATGCCCTTTGTTGATAGTAGCTTCTTGTTACTACTAGTAAGGCCAGCAGCCCCTAGTAGCGTCCTTGCTCCTACTTCCAACTCAAAGGCCTTGAGGACCAATGTCTCAAAGTTGGTGTGACGAGAACTCACGCTCTGAGCTGCCGTGCTGGCGGCGCAATATTCACACCGCTGGCACTCCTCGGAAAAGCCGGACCAGTTTGTGAACCAGGCGGGTAAGAAAATAAGTGGACAATGGATGTCAAATGCGAGAAATCTAGCTGCCTTTTTTGATTCAGATCCTGCAGTAATACTGGAGAAGACCTGGTCCTAACCATCACATGCCGACCTGTCTGGTGGTTTTAGACCTGCTCGCCCAGGAACACCTTCTTTCAACATCCCTCATGCGGTGCTAAGCCTACGACTGTCGCTGCGGAGAAGGAGATGCCTCACAAAGCAACGAAGTGATCAAAAAAGATTTGGAAGCCTGTCATTACCTTGTATGCATTTGGCACTATTACCTTCATCTATCAGCTGACTTTAGAAAACCCATACACACACAAACACGTGTCAAACACTTGAACTCCGCAAGGACATCAAGATGTCTGCAAGTCTTTGTGAAAATCCATGGCCTGATGCTGATGGCCTTCAGGTCGTTTGGGCATGTCTGTACTGTCACCTCGCCGGATCGTCTCATTGCACAACGTCTCGTTGCGTGTTGGAGTTCATGAGGCCGGCCTTTGACGAAGATAGTAACAAGTGCACTACTAGGAGCAAGAAGCTGCAAGAAGCTACTAGTAGCAAAGGGCATTTCTACTAGGAGCAAGGACGCTAGTAGTAGCTCCCGGCCTTACTACTAGTAGCAAGAAGTTACGAACGTAGCGATGCACTTGTTACGTTCGGAGCTTCTTGTTACTAGTAGCAATGTCCTTGTTCCTAGTAGCGATGCCAGGAGCCCCTAGTAGCTTCTTGTTCCTAGTAGTAAGGTGCCTTGTTGAAAACGACCAGAAACACCTGCATTGAAGACTTGCCGTTCCACTGGCATCCGCCGAAATCACTACCGTCCCGTGCAGGGTCTCCCAGCGACTTTCTCGGCTGCAGCTCCTTGAGGGTGGCTTCTCAGCCTCTCAAACTCGGCAAACGATGATTGGAGAAGAACACAGAGTTTTTGCTACTAGTAGCAACGACGCTACTAGTAGCTCCTGGCCTTTCTAACTGAGGAACGTCATAGCAAGCCCTTGTTGAGGTGACAGGATTGGATGTTGTTTTGACCCTCAGGAAATAGCCCCACATGTCTTCAGTCTTTTCCTTGGACCTCTAGAACTTTCTTTTCTCCTTTCCTTTCTTTCGGTTTTCGTTAGCTTTCTTTCTTTCTTTCCTTCCTTGCTTCCTTGCTTCCTTGCTTGCTTCCTTGCTTGCTTGCTTGCTTGCTTGCTTCCTTGCTTCCTTGCTTCCTTGCTTCCTTGCTTCCTTGCTTGCTTGCTTGCTT